ATTTATGTATACATTTGTCTATATCTATCTCGATTCGTTTTGGCTGTTACAAACAACCGTTATGTGAACAAAATTAATATACCCTTGTGCACAAGTGCGCTCGGGTATAAAAATTAGGAATAAAATAAAAAAATTGCAATAAAATAAAAATAATAAAATTTAAAAAATAAGAAATAAAATAAAAAAATTGAGGAATAAAATGAAAAATTTTAAATAAAATAAAATTGATCCTAATTTATGTATATTTATATACCCAAACTCACCATTTCGTGGTGAGTAAATCCGAGCACACAAGTATCATTCACATATACCAGCACGTCGCCGGTTTGCAACTGGCCGTCCAGCCACGCCGGTCCGTGTGGTACAATTGATTTGATTTGCAGGAACTCCTCGGCACCGTCATCACCGCCCACTATAGTAATGCCCAGGCCACGCGCTGACTTTATCAGCGACGCTGTGATACGTTCGCCCTGCATCTCGCTGGGATTTCGCGTGAACTTGTATGGCAACATTGCCGTTGGTGGCGTTGGTAAACTCGCATTGGGTGGAGGTGGTTGCATGCCACGTTGCGCTACATCTATCATACTGATACCCACCGTAGTGACCCGATCGACATCATTACCACCAATCGCATTGATACCATTTAAGTTTGAAGACGGCAATTGAGTTGAAGGTGTTTGCGATCGTTGTTGCAACTGCTGGTTAGGTGGCGGCGACTGCTGTAATTTGCTGGCTACTTGCTGGTTTTGTGAATGGGTGTGCGCTGGCGGTGGCGGTTGATTTTGCTGTTTTTGTTTCTGCTCAGCTGCTCGCCGTTTAGCTTCCAATACGGGATTTTCATATTGAGTGCGTCGATTGACATGATCTATATAATAAGTGCCATAGAGAGAATCTTCGATTTTTTCCCAACCGTAAGGCAGTTCATGGTCCCCACAGTCTTCAAGCGACTTCTTCTGGAATTTAGACAGTCGCGGATCGAGCCAATGTGAGGTGCCAGTGTTGTGACTAAGAGATAAGGAAGAGGTATAATGATCGCTAATACTGAATACTATTCTGTTATAATCAAAACAGGAAATGACAACTTACTCGATGAAATATAATTCACCACGTTCAGTGTAAGCTGTCTCCCACTTTGGTGGTAATGGGCCCAAACCATCACCAGGATCGTCAGTTTCTGGCCCAAGAATATCGCTTGTAGTACCGCCATTATAGCAATTTTGTAACAAGTTTTCTGCAAAAAAGGTGATTCCGGTGACAGCTAAATAACAATACTGTTAAACAACTTAGGAGTTTTCTAATTTTTAAATAAATTTCGGTATGAATGTTTTTACTTCTTGATTGAGTAAATCGGAATTCATATTCGGATACAGGAGATTATTTTATTCAAAATAGCAAAGCAGGAGATACAAATAAAAAAATTTACGAATGGTCCCAAGCCCTGCAAAGATACGCGCGTTATATCAAAGAATGTGCTACACTGCTGCAAAAGCAACGGCTGTATAGGCACTTATCTGTGTCAAACCCGTTCGGTAATATAGCGAATTCTAGTCAACCACGATAACGATTCGACTCTGAGCATTTCATTACAAGCCATAGCCTGGCCCGATGCGAAGACGAATGGTTAAAAGAAATTCTGCGTAAGGACATCACTGAGGTAAGTGATTAAGTTGCGTCTAAATCTCAAACTCGTTCAGGCCAGGGACATACCAGCAAGAACTAAAAAGGGTTTCGCCCTGCAATACATAGGAACAGTGTGCCCTCGGGATTGTGAAAAATTGTAGCAAGAAGATACTTAAAATTTATCAATATATGTATATTACATTCTTTTAGTTTAAGTATCAAAGTATCATTATTGAATAAAACCAATAATATATATGAAAAACCATTTTCAAAAAAAAATTTACATTTATTAATTGCAAAAAAGGNAGCAAGAAGATACTTAAAATTTATCAATATATGTATATTACATTCTTTTATTTAAAGTATCAAAGTATCATTATTGAATAAAACCAATAATATTTATGAAAAACCATTTTCAAAAAAAATTTACATTTATTAATTGCAAAAAAGGTACACATAGTACGTATGAGTTGTACTTGGTACTAGTATAATGATAATATCAAAAATGTGTCACATGTATGAGTTCAACTGGGTTCTAGTATAATAAATGTCCATCTTTTTGTGTGTTGCCGTAGATATGTGGACATGTCCATATTTTTATTGTCATTTATTGAACAAGAAAATTAGTACAGTGAGATTTTGAATATTTTATAGTACAACAGATAGAGTGGAACTCAGGTTGTTAATACATTTACAAAAACATTACTATGTTGATATTAAAAATGCAGGCTTAGATATGTATATACTTAAGGCTACGTCAGCAGTTATAATTTGAAATAAAATAAAATAAGATGGTCAGTCCAGATAAGTTGATAAAAATAATTATAAAAAACAGTTCTTTAGTTGCTTTTGTTTATAGTACTCCTTACGGCAGTAGGTATCGAGTTCCAGGTACGTATAGTGTTCACAAAAAACAATCTAGTCGAGGCTACAGAGTTAAAGCTGGGGATAACTAAATCGTATAAACGGGTCGATTTTGTAAATCTCAGCTTCTCATAGAGTTATGAAGGCGTTTTAGTTAGCATAAGCCGATAAAGAAAGATACAGCTTCTGGTTTCAATGTAGTCCAGTAGCTCGTTTCTGTAACTCTTCCCTACTGATTATTTCTCTACTGGTAGAGAATATACGANTCGAGGCTACAGAGTTAAAGCTGGGGATAACTAAATCGTATAAACGGGTCGATTTTGTAAATCTCAGCTTCTCATAGAGTTATGAAGGCGTTTTAGTTAGCATAAGCCGATAAGGAAAGATACAGCTTCTGGTTTCAATGTAGTCCAGTAGCTCGTTTCTGTTACTCTTCCCTACTGATTATTTCTCTACTGGTAGAGAATATACGACATTCTCATATCTCAATTCGTCTTGGTAGAGAATTGTTACAGAAACGAGCTACAGGATTTGACAGCCCTGCAGATCAAATCTCCACTGGGATATGTGGTCAAATTTACGCAGGCCATGCACATACCGAATGATATTATTAAAAACAACCTGAACCTTATGGGCAGACTGTGAGTCTAGTCTGTTGCAGATGAGTGCAGAGTGCGTAAAATCAGGGCTCGAATCGTAACATCCGTTCACGGATCGAAAACCATAGGAAAGAAAATTACGTGATACCGTATAAGCTGAATGGGATAAAGAGTACGCTCACGTATGTCATAATCCGAAAACGGTGTTTTTACGTGACGAGTAATACGACATCGTATGTGACGATTCGAGCCCAGGTATCATTAATTGAATGGCAAGCTTACATCTGACGTTAACCGGGGTAAACAAGGACGAATGTCTNATAAGCTGAATGGGATAAAGAGTACGCTCACGTATGTCATAATCCGAAAACGGCGTTTTTACGTGACGAGTAATACGATATCGTATGTGACGATTCGAGCCCAGGTATCATTAATTGAATGGCAAGCTTACATCTGACGTTAACCGGGGTAAACAAGGACGAATGTCTTAAACTACGTAGCGCGCAATACACCATACCTATTACCATATTTATATGATCACCACATGTTAAATTCGAGTTGATTACAAAGCCTAGGTTAGTAATTTTACTCACAAAATCAATTGGATTGTCACCTATGTAAAGGGATGGAATGTTATCTACAACCAACTTTCTTTCAGAGATAGGCAGTACATTCGTTTAATTTGGGTTAAGGCAAAGACGGCTGGTTTCTGCCCAGTGCAGTGTTGATAAAATAACCCGATTTATCTTATCACAGAGATCATTAACATTTTCGAAAGAACTTGACAAGTAAGGCTGGACATCGTCTGCATGAGCATGAATACTAACAAATTTACACATCGAAAAGATATCATTAAGAAATAGGGCAAATAATATAGGTCCTAGAATTGAGGTACACCGAAAAACTAGTTTAATTGGTTGTGAGGATTCATTCCCTATTGTAACTCGTTGAAATCTGTTCTTTAGATAACTCGTCATAAGTTGNAGAACTTGACAAGTAAGGCTGGACATCGTCTGCATGAGCATGAATACTAACAAATTTACACATCGAAAAGATATCATTAAGAAATAGGGCAAATAATATAGAATTGAGGTACACCGAAAAACTAGTTTAATTGGTTGTCAGGATTCATTCCCTATTGTAACTCGTTGAAATCTGTTCTTTAGATAACTCGTCATGAGTTTCAGAGAATATTCGCTGAATCCAAAATAATGCTTGAGCTTGACAAAGGATATGGTGGTCGACAGTGTCAAAGGCTTTGGAGAAGTCAAGGAGACATAGTAACGTAAGGTAACCTTTGTCGAAAAAAGAACGAACGTCATCAAGAATTTTTAACACAGCCGTTGAACAACTGTGACAAATCCTAAAGCCAGACTGAAGCGGATAAAACAGATTCTTCTCCTGCACATGACGGGTAATTTGTTCCCCCATTAAAGACTCAAATACTTTTGACAACGTTGGTAGAATACTTACAGGGCGGAAGTCTAATGGAGTCTCGGCGCCCTTCTTCTTGGCAGTAGGGCGCACTAAAGGCACCTTCCACTGATCAGGAATAACGATGTGGTTATACAGTGATTAATTATGTGTGTACTGATAATAGTAGTAGTACCATTTTAATAAGTTTTAACGGTATACCATCCTGACCGCACGAATTTGATTTTATTTTTAAAATACTTTTAATAACATCACACTCGGACACTGTTAAGAACTCAAATGTGCTACCAGAATAAATTAGATGATCACAGGGGACAAAACATTGTTGGTAGAAATCACACAAAGGACTACTAATGAACGCTTTATTGGGTGTATCTGCGTCTATAGTGCATTCGACATCTTCACTTCCACATACTCGTAAGCGTTTAAGGTTACACCACAACACGTTAGGAGGTAGGGAGGAATCAAGGTTCTTCGAATAATACCTACACTTCTCTTATAGCCGATGTAGCTTTATTTCTTGCTATTTTTGAATAGACTCCAGTTAGTTTGGTTAGAATGCCTTTTCCATACAGATAATGCCTTGTTGCGAGCCTTGATTGCAGCCCGGACATAGCCCGTAAACCAGGATGACACGGAGGATGTGCTTTTAATATGTCGTATTGGGACATATTTATTAAAAAGGGTCAATAAGTTTCTGATAAGAAATTCTAGTTGTTCATTAACATTAACCAGACACCAACAGTCATGCCAGCACACATTGTCTATATCAAAAAGTACCAAACCTTCGGTAGTGTCTATACGAAAAAGTACCAGTGGTCCTGGGGTGACCAAAATTAAGATCAAGCGCGCAGAAAATTATGTCGTGATCCGAAATAAATGATAGTTGATCCAACTTTAATATTGATAAATTGTCAGGAATGATAAAATAATCTAGTAGACTAGGGTTACACTTATTACCGTATCTAGTTGGTATATACATATTGACAACAGAAAGGTCAAACGGGGCTCACTATTGTGTGTATTCAACGCGAAAATTCTAAATATGTAGACCGGCCTTAAACGATCAACAGCTTGATTCAGCGATAACCAGCGAATGTTCGACACTCGAAAAATTTTACGATTTTAACACCAACGTAGTACTTGGAAAATTCATCCACCCTTTTAGCACTATGCGCGAAGAAATTATAAACATCTCTGGCCAGTATTTCGACTTCTACGGGAATTTTTTTAACACGATTGGAAAAGTATCAAAATTTAAAAAAAAAGTGTCCCTCCAAAATTTATCGAAAATTGTATCACTTTTGATACGCTTGGATCAAAACGGCCACACTGCATAGGAAATCTTAAGATTACAATAGGAGGCTAAAAGCATAACCGCAGACTAGGCGAAGCTAATGTAAGCTATTGGCTGCAGAATTCATTTTATATGATATGAAGATAATCCGGGGTAAAAAAATACCAACAATGATGATGACGGAGAAGCCCGTTGCAGTTTGCACATGGCAATCATTATTTTAAGTTTAGTAAGCAGATTTCACACGGCACTGATTGTTAAGTGTTCTAGTCCACTAGGATATAGCCTTGTCAAAGAGGCTAAATGCGTAGGATTCCTCTCGGATATAGACTCCAAGTCTTACCAAAGAAGGTATTTTGTTCACCGTAATCTGTCGAGGCCCGCGCGTCATTAGATATTAGTTTGAAGAAAACTTTGAAAAGAAGAAAATCAATTCCGAAACAA